AGATCTAGTATTACACAATTAGATTCTAGTGTTCCATGAGAATTGAAACTAACACTAACAATTGTTATTACATGTTAAAAACCCAAAAAGTTTTACAATATTTGAAAATGGTTTTAAAATGCCCGAGATCCTGTTGTATTGGAAACCTTTAACAGTCAAATGGTGCAGGGAGCCATACTGATGCAGTACTAAACATCAGTAGTTTCCTTTTTTTCATATCCAATTAGCTACCCTGTACTACAGACATGTAGCATATAGTCATTAGTACTAGATTTTAACAAGTGAAATAGACTTGAAGGCACTTATTTTTAGGGTGTTTCAACTGATGCAGGTTTAATAGAAGATGATTATTTTTATATAATTTTATGTACTTGAAACCGTTGGTACTTGGTGAAACTCTATAATTATAGGATTGGGGAAAAACAAGATAATTGTATGTTTCACAAGTACATCATTTCATCATGACCATGGTTTTGCCAGTAAAGGCATCATGTTTTTCCTCAATCCTGTGATTATTTTTAGTTAGTTTTAGTGACACAGTCAAGAAAGTATTTATTTGTTTGTGCATTTTGAGTGACACATACTAGAAGGTGGTTATTTTTGAAATGGGTTTTGAGTAACGTAGTCTAAAAGATGATTACTGTTATATGTTTCATGTGACACAGGTTAGCATATTATTACTTTTAATGAATTTCAAGTGACATGGATGAGAAAGTCATTACTTTTAATGAGTTTCAAGTGACATGGATGAGAAATTCATTACTATTAATGAGTTTCAAGTGACATGGGTGAGAAATTCATTACTTTTAATGAGTTTCAAGTGACATAGGATAGAAGATGGTCACTGTTAGTGTGTATAAGGTATCACAGGGTAGAAAGTAATCACTTTTAGTGGGTTTCAAGTGACATGGGTGGGAAGGTCATTATTGTTAGTGCGTGCTTCTATGGATACAGGCTTGAAGATTATTACTTGTAGAATGTTAAAGTTTTTTCATTTATTCCAAATTTAGATACAAAACATATTTTGACTCATCAGTTTAAAAATATATTAACTAAGCTGGGATTTGTTTATAATAAGAATGACATACCCATTGTAATATCTACAAGTAAAAGGAAAATGTGATGTATATAAATCTGTGGATTGTTTTAGAAATTAGGCTGTTCTGGAAATTACCTGTTATATAATTTTGGAGTGATGTTCTTAGAAATGCTTACTAAAGATACTTCTTTTTTTCAGGAGGGGCTTCTAGACAGGCAAGATTTTCTTACCTGGACCTTGGAACTTGTAGAAAAAACCAAAAATCCAGATGATTCCATATTACAACTCATATTACCATTTGTTTTACAGGTAAGTTTGGTTTGATATCACTTACACTTCGGTATGTAGCCTAATATTTACTTTGCTAATTTATTGTTACTCACACCTAATAGTAGTTTTAGGGAATTTTAGTTCACTGTAAATACTAACTATTACAGACCAGTGAGCACTTTTCAAATATCAAGTTTATACCTACAAGTCAAATTTAAAAATTTAAGTAAAAATAATATTAAATTCTAATTGTTTCAAATTTTTATTTTACTCAAGAATATTTTTGAATTGATATTTAGACATTCTTTTCATTCTAAATTATGTTTGTATGAAAATTATAACAGTTTTCTTCTATAAAAAGTTTAGAAGACTTAGGAACAAACCTTAGACGTTCTTTTCATTAGTGTAAACGTTTTTGCGTTGAATTATATTTTTTTAAAGTTATGTCAATTTTTATTCCATGACAAGACATCAGGTAAGCTTTATTAGGTGTAGAGAATACAGTAGTGATGGAAGAATATTCCAGTGATTCAAATCCTTATTTATTGAATATTATTGTTTAGTTTATCATATCAAAATAATGCACATAAATTAAAAAAAAAGTGTCTCATAACAAACTTTTGGAAATTTCATGTTATAGAAGATGACAGAAGAACTGAAATTAGATACTATGTAGTAAGTTTGTCCTAAATTTCATACAAGTTGGTTAAGTATTTCTACAGTGAGAAGGAAAAAATCAAGGGATATGAGTAATATTCCATTTCCTAATGAGGAAAGGATCATATTGTTCATATTAAGTAAAAGTATTTGTTTAAACTATGCAAATTTTTCATTTTAATTAATTTAATTACTTAAAACTGTTTCACTCTGAATATTTCTTTATAGTTTGTAGATGAGTTCACCAACTCAGAACTCCTTTCTCGTCGTTTGGCTTATCACTGTGCCAAGAAACTTAATCACCTGATAAATGATTATAGTGTCAGCTCACCTAGAAGCCAAAGTCCTTTTATATTAAACCCTTCTGGCCCTACAGGGTAAGTACAAAGTTGCTATCTGCACCTATATAAGGGTTTGACTTGTGTTTAATTTTTGTCATAAAATAAAGCTCAGAAATATTTTTTGCTTTCTTAATAACAACTTTTATTTCAAAATTCAGACTTGTGGCTGTAATGAACAACTTTTGAGAGGGAAAATGCAGTTTACTGATGTAAGTTGATGAACTGTAGAAACTGTATGAATAGGACCTAGATGGGGAAAAAGGGTGACACTCGATGAAGTGTATGTGTCTTGGTAGATGGAACAAGTTTTGTGTCATTTTCTACCAGTCAACTGGTGAAAAAAATTTTCAAAAGTTGTACGTGAAATCTCACAAAAAATTTTTTAAAGGGATTCATGATCATTGATGGATACTATGCCAAAGCATGTTAGGGATCACAACAGTGTATAGGAAGGTCAAGGTGAATTCTTCGTACTACCAGACTAATGTTCTGGTCTTTTTGTACCACATAAAAGTACCAGCTTTATATGAAAATAGAACCAACAGGGTAGGAGTTCACCAAATTAAGGTTTTTCAGTCATACCTCCCATTCAACCACCACATACCTCTAGCACTTGTAAACTGTAAAATGGAATGGGTATTCATACTATTCTATGCAAAGTCATAATCGGCAAATTGATAGATGCTGCACCTAAGAATTTTTGTATCATTGAACTGTTGAAACAAATGCTGTGAAATATTAGATGGATCATGGAAAGCAAAAAGTAAGGAATAATGTGCATTGGACATGATAGCATTACAACAGAACTTTTAGCAACAGAAACTATGCTGCAGGGCTATTGTCAAGATGCACAGTCATCAGATAGAGCATGACAAGACATAAGAACATGGCTATAACTCCATTCATTGCGAGACTCCAAAATTGTTTTAATATAGTATACCCAACCCTGTGTAATTGCTGTATTTGAGGTTTTGTTCATTTACAAATTGTCTACAATGATAACTTATAAAAAGGATATTAAAAAACACTGAAATTTCTGACTTTCCCAATTCTAACTGTCACTAAACTTTAAACAGGCTGTTTCACTGTTGTTTAAAACTTCAAGAATATAGATATTCCTTGGTGATTTTTTTAAATACCTGGAAGTATTTGTTTACATTATTATAAATGTTAATATATCTAAAAAGTTTGAAATCTAAGTATTTAAATAAGAATATTCTTTAATAATTAAGTAAAAATTTTGTATAAGTAAAACATTAGTTGCTGCTCATGTAATTTTTAGTGTAATTTGAATAAAATGGTGTCATTACACTGTTGTACTTAATATTGTTATGTTCCAGATACATAACTATTAAACAGCATTGTGAGAAATGAGTGATGTTGTAGTGTTATAAAGTGAATATTGTTGTGTTAACATCTTTCAGGCCTGCTGTATCACCTCCAACCCAGCCATTAGTGAATCCTCTTGCTGCCAATCTTGCTGAAATCATGAGCTGTCCTCATCACCGAAGTATTATTTTAAACTTATCAGCAATGTTACAGGTAAGTTTAAGTTTCTTTAACATTTTTTTGGAATATTTTTGTTTCCACCTTTAATATAACAAATGCTAAGATAAATAAAATGAGTGGATTTGAAGTTTTTATGGGCTGCACCTTTCTGGAATGTAAGAGTAGATTTTGTTTTAGCCTTTGTGTTGACACTTTCAGCATGTTATGTTGCTGAATAAACTGTGTTATTGGTTTACATATAGGTTAGTGTCAACTTCCACTCCATGTGGGTTCAATCTATACATTTTCAAATTAAGTTTGATCTGCTCTGCCTGTAACATTTCCAAAACAAGGAGAACCACTGTAATATATTTTAAGTAGAGTTAGAGACCAGGATCATTATTGGTGGGTCCGAGTCAATATGTGATATCAGGCATTATTATTTACTTTGATTAATTTTGTTACTAATTATACTTAACAAAATCCTATCTGGACCAGCAGGGTGATGTTCTATCACCCCTGTTTGGTTTCTTCTCACACTTAAGATGCTTAGCCTATAGTTGCATAAAATACACACTTTTTATGTAAAATATACTTTGAGCTTGAAAAAAACTGAAATAATTTGATTTAATTTTTGTATAATATTTTAGGTTGTTTTAGAAGTTTTGTCATGAAATGGTGTTTTGTATCTAATAGTTTTTGTTTTTTTTAATAAAAGTATAATTTTTGTGTCAGTGTTCTAATAACAGCATAGTCATTTTTTGCCTGTCCATACAAGCTCTTACATGTGAAGAAAGTATTAAGAAATATGGAAGAATAAAAACTGGATTTATTTCAATATTATTAATCAGAAAGTTCCATTTTCTGTATCCAATAAGTTTTAATTTGTTTTATTTTTGTTTATTATTTCTGTTTGCTGTTTATCGTTACCTTTTGAAGCAGTTATGTAGCCATAAAAATAGTAGGAAACATTGATGAACAGTAATAGTATTGACCAGTAGCAACACATGTATTTGCATCTTAGCCCTACTCTGATATAGGCAATATTTTCAAACTATATTTTTGGTCAAGTCTGTTTTCTCTAGTAATTATCATTAACTGAGGAATTTTTGTACTTTTATGTGTTGTTTGAGTAATAATAGATTTAATAACGCACAAATAAAATAAAAGAGATTTCCTGTCATCTGAGTAGTTTTCTGTCATAGACCTCCTAGCTTATCGTACTCACTAACAGAGATGAAAGTCTTCTGGATATATCCGGAAATCCGGATATTTCTAAAAAATCCTGAAAACCTCCGGTTTTTTTCCGGAGAAACACATTTTTTAAAATTATTTATCGGATTTTTGTGTTCCATGCCATAGATAAGCGTTTATGCAATCGCGCGTTTTTTTTACATTCGGCGACAGGGCGCCGCCATTTTGTAGTCTCGCAATGCTTGCTGGCGTGTACGAGACCTTGTATGCTTATAATGCAAACTTCGTGTCATGTGAACGAGATTTTATCTCAAACGTGCTTTAGAAAACGCAGTCATTCTTTTGTGTACCTTTCTATTGAGCGAAACAATTGAAGAACCTTAACTATTCAAAGGTGTTTACCGAAGCAATAATAGATCAAATGAAATGTACAAACAAGTAGATAGGTTGGCGGATAGAAGGAAAGGTAAAGAACAAGTTCA